TGCGACGCCGAACTCGCGCAGGACAGACTGTAGGAAGACGCGAAGAGCGCCTTCCTACGAATTGGGTTGGCCACGAACCACCCCCACATGCAATACCGAAACCTACTTCGCCGTTAGCGTGTCTACGGCCCCTGCATCACGACTGCTTCAAACGTGCACGGCCGCGACCTACACACGGTCGCCACTGGGCGCGTTGCAGAACGAGTCCGCAGGCCACCTCCAAGGTCTCGGCCTGAGGCCCGGGACAGTCAGGAATGACCCAGGACAAAGAAAGGCACCTCGGGGAGCCCATGTCACGTCACGAGAGAGGCGATGAGACTCCAAGACGGCTCCGAGAGGGCCCTCAGAAGTATTCGAATATTCGGCCATGCGCACATCGAAAACATGCCCGAGAACACCTACTGACTGGAAGATTTGCGCGCAAAGTTTCCCGTGGGGCTCCGTTTTACCAAACGCGGTTGCGGCTATGCCCGGCAGCGACACTGGATCACTGACAAGGTCGCGATGCTTCCCAAACATACTTATACTACGCTGAGCGGAAGCCGACAATGTTGGGCAACTCTGGATATCTGCTTTGGGGCGTCTCGGGAACGTCGGGGGGGGGTCTTGCGAGTTACGTGGGGCTTCCTGTTGGGCTTCAGGGAGCCCAGGGCTGGAAATGTTCGTTCGGCCCCCGCCTGGACCGCTGGGCTCTTGGGGGCCTCTTTCCGGCCTCCTGGATGCTGCCCGTAGCCATTTTGGCTCAAGGCAATAAACCGTCCCGACGACCGCGAATCTTTCGGGGCGAATTCTGAGCGCGAGGGAGGTTCCGCTTTGAGGCCACCTTCCTATCCAACAAGTGAGAGCTGCCACTGCAGCACCCTCCAGTGCCCTCGTGGGTTCGTATCGGAGTGTGGGGCGCACCGATGACGGGCGGCGAGGATGGCTAGGTGGTCAAGGGTAGTGGCAAGAAGAAGAAGAAAAAGAAGAAGAAGAAGAAGAAGAAGCAGTGGGACACGAGGCCCTGCACACAGTGGGGGGGAGGACACAGTGGTGCGACGCCATCTGTGGGCGACCTACCCTGGACATGCGGAGCCTGCGGCACGGGCAGCAACTGGCCGACGCGCACGAGCTGCCGTGCGTGCGGACGGCTGCGGACAGGCGAGGGTGGCAAGGGCAAGGGCCAGATCCAGAACAAGAGCTCCACCGAGGAGACGTGTACGACCCGTCCTCCACCCTGGGCCCAGGACAAGACGAAAGAGGGAGTGGGCAAGCCCAAGACGGAGCTCGAGGTGCTGTTGGAGAAGCGTAAGTGCCTCCAGGAGTTCCCTGTCATCGAGGGTGAAGACCCACCGACGTATGTCACCGAGGGGATTGCGCAGCTGGACAGGGACATCGCGAAGGCTCGCAACCTCAGGGACCAGGCGAAGCCGCTCGCCATCCAGATGCGGGAGGCTCAGGCTCTCTCAGCCGAGCGTACGCATCAGGAGGAGGTGCTCGTACGTCAGGCCGAGAAGCTGCAGAAGGAGCTGCTCGCGGCGCAGAAGGCAGTGCAGGAGGCGCGCCAGGCGAAGGCCGAGGCCAAGGCCAACGAGCTCGCTCTGCAGGCCAAGATCGCGGCGCAGCAGCCTGCGGCCCCAGCGTCCGACCTCGATGTCTTGCGCGTCCAGCTCGAGGCGATGGTCACCAAGGCGGGTGGCACCCTCAAGGATATTGGCTTCGGCGACGTCTGGGCCAAGGTCGAGACCCTCATCACCACGGCCGCTGCTGAGGGTGATGCTGGTGCTGAGCCTCCTGAGCAACCTGTTGGGGGCAGTGGGGGCAAAGCCGATGAAGGCAGTGGTGGAGGATTCGCCGACGACGTGGACATGCCTGAGGGAGTCACCGAGGAGGAGAAGCAGTGGGTCAATGGGGAGGCCCCAGTCCCTGACTCTGTGCAGCAACCTGAGCGGTACAAGCGTTTCCAGGAAGTACTGGTCGGGGTGCATGCGTCCCACGTGGCGAAGAAGATGCGGATGGGGTAGCAGTCTCCTGTACTTTGTGCTCAACGGCGCCGACCTGGGGTATGGCGCCTCCCCGTGGCGTGCAGCTGTGGTCGAGCATCTACGGCGGCAGCAGCGGGTCCCTGGCTGGGCAGGCAGTCAGTGGACCGCCGAGGGGTGGATCCCGCTGTCCGAGGGCAGCGAGAGGGAGTGTGACGCCGAGGTGAATACCACGGGCGTTGGCTGGGCAGGGTACGCGCGGATCCTCCAGGATCCGAAGGAGAGGCGCCTGCTGATCCCACAGCCGATCGAGGTCGGCAGGAGAAAGGACATCACCCTGTGGACCTTCAACGGCTCCAGCTGGGGTACGATCAAAGAGAAGTTGCTCGAGGTGAAGGGCGACGACGGTGGGAGGCGACGGGCACGGCACGTCTACGTCTTCCAGGAACATCGGCTGCTGGATGAGGCGTGGGCTGGAGTTACAGGCAGCATGAGGGCATACGGATATCAGATCGGAGGTACCACAGCCGTTCCCACAA